AACCTCATTTTTCCGTAATTTTTACTTCTATTTTTCGTAATTCCAACGTCACTTTCCAGAAATTTTGACACTCACTTTTTCGCAATTTTTAAAAAGTTACGGAAAATTGCAGGAATTACGAAAAATTACTGGAATTATAAAAGTAAAGAGAATTACAAAAATTACAAAAATTATAGGAATTATGAAAATCACGAATTTTTGAAATTATGAAAATTACAAAACTTGGGGAGAATTTAAAAATAACGAAGTTTTTTAAAAATTTAGAATTAAAAATAAGTACAAAAAATTACGGGAATTACGAAAAAATTATGATTTTTGAAGTTATGGGAAAATTACGAAAAAGTTATGGGGGAATTACGAAAATTATGAGTTTTTCGAAAATGCAATAACTAAGGAAAAATTGACTTTTTTAAGCAAAATTCATTTTCTTACATTTTATTTTTTTTCTAGAAAACTGGCAAAAGGATAATTGTGGAAATTTTTCAGAAAAAAGAGGAAAGTGAGGATCTCATTAAAACAAAATTTCAAAATTTTCCAGTAAAAAATCACTTCAGGAAAAATTCTGGAAAATTGACTTATTTAAGCAAAATTAAGGAAAATTCATCCTCTCACATTTCAATTTATTTCTGGAAAACTAATAAAGCAAAAGTTGTGAAATTTTTCCAAGAGAAAGAAGAAAATAAGGAGCTCATTATAGGAAAATTTCGGAATTTTCCAGTGAGAAATCACTTGGAAAATCGACTTTTTCAAGTAAAATTAAGGAAAATTCATCCTCTCACATTTTTTTTTTTTTGGAAAACTAGCAGAAGAAAAATTTTGAAATTTTTACAGGAGAAAGAGGAAAGTGAGAAGTTCATTATATGCATGTATAAAAATTTCAAAATTTTCCAGTAAAAAATCACTCCAGAAGAAATTCTGGAAAACTAACTTTTAACCAAAATTCATTTTTTTAATTTTAAATTTTTTCTGGAAAACTGGCAGAAGGAAAATTTCAAAAATTTACAGTGAAAAATCACTCTAGGAGAAATTTTATTTATATATTTTCGGATAACTGAATAAATTCTCTTCTAAGTTAAAAAATGTATTACAAAACAATAATTCCGAAGTTGCTCCATGAATTAATCTATGACATAACTTTTTCTCTAAGTTATGACGTCATCGATGACGTAAGTAAAAACTTGCGTGCCGTGAAACAAACTATTTGTTTGTTTGAAATTTCAGACATAAAAAAATCAATTTTTTTTAAAAAAAGGCAAATGATGACGTAAGTACAAACCCACAAAAAATGGTGCTGCAACACCCCTCAAATTTGGAGCCTAGTTGCGCTTATGCTACTCGCTTTGGCCAATTTTGCGCACGTTTCTGGGGAAAGTTATTAAGGCATTAAAAATTTGCACTTTCCCCCCCGTTTGTCGAAAAATTAAAAGATCCTATGCTTGTCTCCCCACTCTCCCCCCCCCTCGTTTTTCAAAAAGTTGAAAAATCCTTATGCCACTAGGTTCACCTAATTTTGCACAACTTTGCACACCTATTTTCAAATTTTGCAAAATGTGCACTTTTCCGCCGGTTTTTTGAGAAAATTAAATTTTTTTATGTTACTCAATTCGGGTTGAAAATAAACGTACAAAATTGAGTGAACCCAGTAGCAAGGGTTTTTCAATTTTTTGACAAACAGGGGAAAACGTGCAAATTAATACAACATTCAACTCCCAGAGGAATGTGTAAAATTAAAAATAAGGTGTGCAAAATTAGCCGAAGCGAGTAGCATAAGAATTTTTCAAGTTTCAGATAAACGGGGAAAAAAGTGCATATTTATCACACCTCATAACTTTTCCCAGAAGAGTGTGCAAAATTTGAAAATAGGTGTGCAAAATTTGAAAATAGGTGTGCAAAATTGTCCAAAATTAGATGAAACGAGTAGCATAGGGGTCTATCAATTTTTTTAAAAACGGGTGGGGTTATGCAAATTTTTGATACGATATAACTTTCCCTAGAAAAGTGTGCAAATTTTGAAAATCGGTGTGCAAAATTATGGGTTATTTATTTTTGAAATTTGTCTATATGTCGAAAAAAGCAAATTTTCAAAGACGGGGGTAGTCCTGACAACCTGTTCACCTCTCGACCTGTCATATTTTGACAGCTGTCAAAAATTACATTTGACAGCTGTTGAGTATTCCAAATTGTATTATCATCCGAACTTAAACTGTATGCAAAATTTCAGCAAAATCTATTGCAAAGAAATGGTTCACAAATCTGCATCTGTTACATTATTTGACAGTTAACACCTGTCATCAGTGGTCTAAGATGTATTATCATCCGAACTTAAAGTGTATGCAAAATTTCAGCAAAATCCGTTGCGAAATAATGGTTCAAAAATCTGCACCTGTCACATTTGACAGTTGACACCTGTCATTAATGATCTAAAATGTATTATCATCTAATCACCTGAACTTGAAGTGTATGCTAAATGTCAGCAAAATCCGTTGTGAAGATATGGTTCAATCTGCAACTGTCTCAATTTGACAGTTGACACCTGTCATTAGCGGTCTAAAACCTTCTTATTATTATTGCCTTTCATATTAAACATTAAACTGGTTTGAGGCACATCGATCGGATAGTTTCAAAGTCTATAACGGACATAGGTAGACACACAGACAGACAGACAGAAACAATTTTTGTGTTTTATTCCTCTATTTATTAGTAACAGAAAATTACTACCCACAAAAATACATAACTATTTACCTATTTATTATTTTTTTTAAATTATAAAATATTCCTATTCTATGGTAGGTATATGTATAATAAGTACCTATATAAAACACAGGCATTTAATTTGTTATACAAAAGACAACTTGGCAACGCAGCCTAGCAAATACGCGTGCATTTAGTGCCTCAAATTAATTTAATCGCAGAAACGACTGATTTTACTAGGACACTAGCGCCATCACGCAGGTTTATATTTTCGCCGCCGGACGGTTCTTCTAGAGACGTTAGTCTATAATATTCTTTGGTACTACATTCCTCAATTATTTTCCAGTAGACCAATAACTAGTAGTGGCACAAAGTGTTGTTTTTTTAAATGACCCCCTGTATATTATGACATTTCTGGATTCTGCGGAAAATTCTAGACATATTTCATGTACAGGGTGATCCGGTATAAAGTGAACACCCCCTTTTTTCGCTAAAAAAAATTTTTTTCAAAAAAATCAAGATAGGCATTTGGTGTATTTTGTTTCTAGGAATTTAGGAACGTTATTCGAAATGTTATTAGAATGTTCGTTAAAGCACTGTGACGACAAAAGTAATTTTTTTAAATGGAACAACCTATATTTAAATCAATTTTTGAAACGCCCCTATTTTTCTCATTCCAAATACCAAAGTTTGTTTATCATTATTTTAGTAATTTGCGATATATTCTCACTTAAGATTCAAATAAGAATAGACGAAAAGGTATTAAGGTAAATCTGAATAATTTTACCTTTAATAAGACTACTGGTTATTATGTTTTATGATACCTTTTGGGCTATGTTTATATGAATTACTTTTGTTGTCACAGTGCTTTAACGAAAAATCTAATACCATTTCGAAAAACGTTCCCAAATTCCTAGAAACAAAATACACCAAATGGCTATCTTGATTTTTTTGAGAAAAAAATTTTTAGCGAAAAGGTAAGGGGTGTTCACTTTATACTGGATCACCCTGTACAATGTCATATACCTATCTTCAACTGTTTCAAAAATATTGACAGTTGAAAATTGACTTTTTTGCATCTTTGACAGACTGTAAAACCTAAACGGTTAGTTTTAGAGGAAACCCGATTTTACATCTGTGTCTAAGATTTTCATAGACTATCATTTGACACCAAATTTGAATTAAACTGAAGATTAATAATTTAGGTGGAATTTTTAATCAGGGATTAAATTCAAGATTGGTGCCAAATGATAGTTTATGAAAAACTAAGACAGGAATGTAAAATCCGTTTTCTTGTAAAATTAACCGTTCAGGTTTTACAGTCTGTCAAAGATGCAAAAAAGTCAGCTTTCAAATGTCAATATTTCCGAAACAGTTGAAGATAGGTATATGACATTGTACATGAAATATGTCTAGAATTTTCCGCAGAATCCAGAAATGTCATAATATACAGGGGGAGTCATTTAAAAAAACATAACTTTGTGTCGCTACTAGTTATTGGTCTACCCTGTATACTGGAAAATAATTTAGGAATGTAGTACTCATGTTTATCTACAAGTTCTGTATTTAGTTTTTTCTCCCATCTCCGTTAGTATAGGAGATATGGACCACCGCGCGCTTAGTAACTGACCCTGTATAATTTCTACTCTTTAATGTGACTTTCCCTTGTTATATGTTCATAACGCCCTGGAATGATAGCTCTCAGCAAGCAAATATGCAAATATTTACCTAAGGATGATTGCAAAAAAAGCTGTATACGTACAACCTAAAATTAACTCAAAATGATTTTCACCTCTATGAATGTTCTGTTATCCACAAGACCCTATGTAAATGACATATAAAATGTATTTCCTAAAATTGCAGACGAAGATTCAATAGAGTATATTCTAGAGTAAATATTAACCTATTAAATACAATGTTATCAAACAGATTTAATCACAACTGTCCTTATAGGGTAATATCTTAGTTATTAAAATAAGTCTTGCGATAATTTCCACTTTTTGTATGTATGTACTTTGTACTTATATTTATACCTCGATTTATACTTTATATTTCTTTTGCATACAAGATTAAGATTAGGATTATTTCATTTACAGTACAACCCCGGTTATCCGAGGTAACATGGGAGGCTCCCTCCTCAGATAACTGAAAAATCGGGACAAACAGAGTATAGATGCGCGTATCTTGCATAATTAGGGTCTATGGCTGTTTAGATTGGCTCGGTTAATCCAGAGTTTGGATAACTCGGACTCGGATAATCGGGGTTCTAATGAATTTCATAAGGAAGAAAATCCTTGAATAATACTTACATTGGGCAAATTCCTTGATGAGTCATTTAAGTTGAAATAATCTATATTCTGTATTATTCCTGGTGCTTTTAGGCCCACTACAAACAACATTAAACAAGCCACATATCTTATTACAAAAAAGGACATTTCCACTTTGTTGGCAACACTAGAAGAAAATTGTTCAGGAAATTATCAATTCAGAGAGTAATTAAATTATTCTTACCCTTCTAACTTGAACCACCAATCCTTCTGGTTCAAATTTAAAAAGGCCAAATTTTGAGAGACAAATATCAGCATCCAAAATATTAGCAATACTATACCGTGACCTCTGGTGGGTACTGATGGTAATAAATAATGCCTTTCCACTCTGATAATCCATAAGGAGTAAATGTAGTAAAACACCGTTAGTGTAAGAGATGTAATCTGAAAGAAAAAAAATGTCTAGCTTTTTTGGTCTAAAACTTTGAAACATTTAAATTCCAATGCCTAAAACACTTATTAAAATTCATTATTGTTTATCAACGCTTGGCAATATTCGGTGGATCAAAAGTTCATCAAACAAACCATAATAGTTATCAGTTGTATTGAATAATACCTAATAATACGTAATCTGGGAATTTCTTTTATATATGTATTTATTGATTCCCTATGCTATACCAACATACCTACAATAAACAATTTCTTACCATATATCCATAAACACTTGTATCTTCAAATACTGTCACTGCCAAAATAAATCTAATAGCTTCAAGCACTGGCAAAAATACAGTCAAAAATATTTGAAGCCCATAAAGCCTCGATTTGGTTAAATGGATTGGTGAAAGTTCTGTGCCATATCGGCGATATATACATAATTGTATTGTCCCTAGAATGAATCAAAAATAAAGTTACCATTACATTAAGTAATTCAATGTTTAGCATATACCTGCTATAAGAATAAATCCAGCAATCACAGAGCTCGTTAATGTGTTCATGAAACACTGATTGACTCCATCGTCCAACCACATTTGCCAAATGGAAGCATTTGGAGGGCAATAGGATAAATTTTGGAGTTTCATTTTGATATGTCAGCAACAATAGTCTGGAAATACTAAATTATATACCTATTAAGTTTAGTTTTGATAATTAAATTACTCCTTTCATATAGGATTGAGAGAGTCTCACAGAACTTTTTGCGCACAATTCTTATAAAAACAACTTTTTATACTAAAGAAAATACATTTTCACAACCTGTTGAATACAATATTATACTATTTCGCGAAAACTAGCTAGGTTCAAAATTTGCACACGGTCAACTGAGCGCAAAAAGTTTTGCATTCTGCTAATTGTGGACATGGAGACAAAGAACTTTGCACACAGTTTGTGCAAAAACCTTGTTTCCATAATTCATATTTGACTTGTTTTTCAAAGTAATTGTAGAGAAGATAGAAATTATATCAAAAGTATAGCATATATTAGATTGTCATTAATAATAATTTATGATAAGTAGTACCTATAGTAAAACGTAAAACAGTGGTGGAAATGTATGTATAAAAACAGAGCTTGTGAAGCTAAATACCGTGATTTTTCAATACTCACCTGTTATAGCTCGATTATGCACATAATTAGCTTTATCTTAATAAATAATCTTTATTGAATTAATTTTTTTCTGTTATGTATTTTTCGTGAACAAAAACAAAAAAATAAATATTTAGATTAGATGTCAAACAAAAATGATAAGTGGAATTTTTCTTGAGGTTATGTCACTCCGTCGAACAATCGATTGTCAAAAGTTAAATGTCATAGGGCGCTTTTGCCGCTTTTGGTCAAGGATTTTGGTAACATCTCGGATTCGCTAAACGGTAGATTGTTCACACCAAGTTCACACTTGATTTTTTTAAAACTGCTCAGAATAGGGTCCTGGTCTCAAGGGTAATAGTTGTATTCCTTTCACACAAGAGGAACTCCGGAACAGCTCCGGGGCATTACGCGCTTATTCCTTTCGAAAAGTATTCGTTGTACCACGCATCTGTTCCTTTCAAATCGGGGGCGACTAACACCGAAGCGAGTAGCTCGAGTGTTCTAAGCTCTTGAAACGAATACAACTAATACACACTACCACTCGCCGCCATATTGGTGTGTCACCATTTCTGACGTCACCTCAAATCAAATGAAATCACAATATACTTTATTGTCGGAAAATAAATTTCATTGACAAAGCATGATCTTAAGTAATGTGCAAGTAATATAAAATTATCGGGTAATAAAAAAAAAACGCTGTGTCTAGCCTCCCGGCACCGGTATTTATACGAATCCCGGTTATGATGCATTTTCGATGACTCCATGGATCCCGGCTATTGTATTCAAAATTCAAAGTCGTGTTTCTCTTGCTGCTTGAAGCTGTGATTAATTCCGGAATAGCTTTTGTGTATTATTGTTTCTTGTTGTGATATTGGTATAAGAGTGGTAAGTACTTCCTTAATCCACTTTTCGTAGTAGAGTGGTTTAAAAAGGGAATAATATGGTTTATTTTCATTCATTATTCAGGACTCTAGCTTTTTTAACAGCCTATAACTCTGAAATAGGGTACTCTTGGACCCTTGTTTATAGGAATTTTTGCTCTTAATCTGAGATGTAGAATCCACAGTTAAAATATTAACCTCTAATTTTGGGCCACCCTGTGTAATGTTGCTGAACAACAACGGCGTTGCTGTCCAAGATCAAATGCTGAACAAACTTTCGAAATGACCCTGTACTTACCTACATATAATAAAAAATCATAATTTTATTTTCCATTAATAAAAACTTATCGCGCCCGACTTTTTTACTCTTCATAATAAATCTACCCCAATAACAATGAACATAATAATTATTAACATCTTGTATAGCAATAGCCGGGATCCACGACAGTTACCGGTGGTTGTTGATGACGTCATTTAAATGGCGCCATAACCGGGATTCGTATGAATACCGGTGCCGGGAGGCTAGACACAGCGTAAAAAAAAACATACAACCAATAAAATAAAAAATTGTTTGCACTAGAGGTCGTAGTTTAGAATTTAAGTTTATGGTGAAAAATATTATTTAATTTTGATTAACATAATAGGCAAAGGGGAAGATGAAAACGAGATCTGAAACAGAGTTGTTTTAGAATATTAATTAATGTTGTAAAACCAAGTGTACGCATAAAGCAAAAGTCCGCGGAATCATAACCTGTGGACCTGTGGTGCAAACAGCCTACGTCAAGGCGAAAAAAGAAAGGACATGCTGCTACGTCACAATTGGTGATTTGGCGCGGTAGGGGGCTTCAGATTTGTTCCTCTATGATTTGTTCCACACACACCAAACCCAATTGGGTCTATTCTGTAACTCAAATCGAATCGACAATCGAAAACTTGAATCGATAACTGTGGACATTTTTCCACAGTTATCGATTCAAGTTTTCGATTGTCGATTCGATTGGAGTTGCAGGGGTGGGACTCCGTGCCATGTAGAATTCGACATATCGAAACATATCGCAGGCCGCACAGTGTACCGGGCCTATGGAATCCTGTCGATATAGTGACACGGAGTCCCTGGGCAGATTAGACCCGATTGTCAAAAATTTAGTACAATGACCGAGTTCGTTTTTGTCACCCTTTTCGTCGATTTGCTCCGTAATTTTGACAGGCACGCGATTTGTGAGTTAAAACCAATTTAAAACTGTCTGATCCAGTCACGTGCATGTCAAAATTTCGGAGCAAATCGACGAAAAAGATGACAAAAACGAACTCGGCCTATGTTGGAAACACACAAAGAATACAATACTAAGTGCGCGTTCACATTGGCACCGCTCGAGCGGTGAGCGTTGCGTTGCGCGATGTCGCTGTAGCGATGCCCAAAAATAATTTTAACATTATATTTCGAGTGAACATGTTAACACCGCGGGAGGCGCCGCTTCAGTGTGACCATGTTCATTTGAAATATAATGTTAAAATTATTTTCCTACGACGTGCGGAAAAGTTACTTTTCCGCACGATTTTTCGTTTTGAAAGTTGTACTTTTCCGCACGATTTTACTTTTCCGCACGATTTTACTTTTCCGCACTATTTTTTTACTTTTCCGCACGATTTTACTTCTCCGCACTATTTTTTTACTTTTCCGCACGATTTTTACTTTTACTGAAAAGTGTACCCATATTAAAGTTCGGGGCCCCATTTTTGAGGGGCACAGTCCCGCAGTGGCCCCTTTCTGGGGGCGGAGCCCTGGGTGGCCCTTTTGGGGGGCGGAGCCCTGGGCCCCTTTTGGAGGGCGAAGCCCTTTATTTGGGGGCGAAGCCCCGCGGGAGCCCCTCATTTGGGGGCACAGCCCCGCAGGGCCCCCTATTTTAGGTGGCATAGCCCCGCGAGACAATTTTTTTGGCCAATTTAGATATAGGCCAAGGATCATGATAAAAAAATTCGGTTCCATTATTTTTTTGTGTATAAAAAAATCGTGCGGAAAAGTAAAATCGTGCGGAAAAGTCACTTTTCCGCACGATTTTTTTATTACTAAAAATGAAGATATTTAGGATCAAATAAATGATTTATATGTATATTATTTTATATTATGTGCTCTTTTGTACCATCATTATAAAATCTTTGCGTATTGGAAAAATTTTTTTTGATAAATAAGATGGACAAAAACACTCGTAGGAAAAATATTGTACCTAACTCTTGCGGAAAATGTCTTTTCCTACGAGCGTGCGCAAAGTAGTACTTTTCCGCACGCATTTCCGGACTCAAAGTTACACTTTTCCGCACTCAGTGCGGATACAGGCCTTATCCGCACTGAGTGCCGAAAAGTAATTATAATTGTCAAGCAACAATAAGTGCACCTGTCGACTTTGACACATGATGACAAATTTTTCCTCTATTTCTATATCAGCCAACATCTATACAAACACCAATTATAAATTAACTTTGACACATCAGATTTGTTCTCTATTCATATGCAAAAATCTACAAACTTTCTCATCAAATTTAAACGCTTTAAGATGAACAGCTCTGACGAGGATTTTCTGTTATTTTTTTTTGTTATGTAATTTTTTGATAAATGCATAGGTTCCCTTCAAGTTAATTAAAAATAATTAAACAAATTATCGTTTTTTTTTAAAAAAAATTTGTTATTACCTACCTGATATGAAGCTCGTAGGAAAAATTTAGTTCCTAACACGTGCGCAAAGTGTCTTTTCCGCACGCAAACACGTATCCGAACTCCGCTTCGCGTCGTTCGTATAACTGTGTTTGCGTGCGGAAAAGTAACACTTTGCGCACTTGTTAGGAAAATAACTATTTCCTACGAGCGTGCGCAAAGTAGTACTTTTCCGCACGCATTTCGGTTCTCAAAGTTGCACTTTTCCGCACTCAGTGCGGATACAGGCCTTATCCGCACTGAGTGCCGAAAAGTAAAAATAATTGTCAAGCAACAATAAGTACACCTGTCGACTTTGACACATGATGACAAATTTTTCCTCTGTTCCTGTTCCAGCTAACATCTATACCTACAAACACCAAATTTAATTAACTTCAACACATTGTCAGATTTGTTTTCTATATATATGCATCTACAAACTATCTCATCAAATTTATAGCATTTTCCATTTGTCGAAACAGGGCAAAAAAATGTATCCTTATCCTTACATGTTACATGCTTTTAGAAAAAGATGCGGATGCACTCAGTGCGGCACTGATGACAAATGGAAATCGCCATTAAACGCTTTAAGATGAAGAGCTCTGACGATGATTTTCTGTTATATTTTTTTTTTGTTATGTAATTTTTTGATAAATGCATAGGTTCCTTTCAAGTTAATTAAAAATAATTAAACAAATTATCGTTTTTTTTTTAAATTTTTGTTGTTACCTACCTGATATGAAGCTCGTAGGAAAAATTTTGTTCCTAACACGTGCGCAAAGTGTCTTTTCCGCACGCAAACACGTATCCGAACTCCGCTTCGCGTCGTTCGTATAACTGTGTTTGCGTGCGGAAAAGTAACACTTTGCGCACTTGTTAGGAAAATAACTATTTCCACCCTCGACGGCTTGCCCGAACTCCGCTCCGCGTCGTTCGTGCAACTGCCGTCGCGTGCGGAATAGTACCACTTTCCGCACTTGTTAGGTAAATAACTATTTTGGGCATCACTACAGCGGCATCGCGCAACGCTCACTGCTCGTGCGGTGTCAATATGAACGCGCACTAAGGATTGCTTTTGGCCTCGTTTTTGGTATTCACCGCCATATTGGTTTGTCACCATTTCTGACGTCATCACCAAGTCGTCAGCTGTTTGCACTAGCGGTCGTAGTTAAGAATTTAAATTTATAGTTGTATTGTATAGGAATACAACTTATGATGAATACTATTATGTATTTAATTTTGATTGCTATAATAGGCAAAGAATAAGATAAAAACGGGATCCAAAAAAGAATTGTTTTGAATGTTAATTAATGTAGTTAAACCAAGTATGCATCGATGAACGTATGCATAAACCAAAAGCCCGCGGAATCATAACCTGTGTACTGTGTGGTGCAAACAGTCTAGCCTACGTTAAAGCAGCGTTTTCCTAGCAACGCACATTTTACGCGGCGTAGAACGCAATTCGGTCGGCGTAAAACGCTGAGGACATGTCTAATGAAAATCAAATAAAGGTGTTTTCCTACACTGCGTAGTAACGACTTGCGCTAGCGTAGTACGGTCGACGCAACTGGACAACTGCTCTGAGAGCAGTCT